CGCACGGAGTCCCGGCACCAGGCCCCACTGGGGGCGGGGGTGTCCGAACATGGCCGACCCGAGGCACAGCCGGCGGCCAATCGGCGGGGCGGGCGGTCCTGGGGCGGGGGCGGTGGCACCTGCGGCCAATGAGGGTGAGGCGGGGCCGCCACCTGGGCCAATCCCCGGGGGACCCCGCGTCCGAGGCCCAATGGCGTGGCGCTGGGCGGACTACCTGTCGGGCGGGGCGCGGCCCACCTGCGGCCAATGGGAGCTCGCGCGGCCCAGCTCTGCCCGGCAACCGAAGCCGGTGCGTGCGGCCCGGGGACACCGGGACCGTCCGGCGCCCCCCGCCCGCCCTGCGCGCTGGCCCCTCCGTGAGGTGGGCTGCGGGGCTGCGGTTCCTGGGGAGGGCCCCTGCGCTGCCGCACCCCGGGAACTTGTTGGGAATGCCAGCTCTCGGCCCCAGTCTGACTCGCTGAATCAAAACTCCAGCAGTCTGCGAACAAGCCCGGGTAACTCTGGGGCGAGGGCGAGTCTGAGAGCCGCTGATCTAGGGGACAGCGGGGAGGGGTCGCCGGTGACGTGAGGGCGGGGGGCGCGGCCAGAGGGAGCTCCGCCTCCTGAGAGCACGCGTGCAGCCAGCAGCTCAGACCCCCGACTGCAAAGGACGCTTGGACCGCGTACCCAGCGTCCGGCCAGCTTCCAGATGCGGAGACGGAGGCTGCGAGGAGCAGAGAAGCCGGCCAGCGTCACGGCCGGGGAGGTCCGGGCTCAGCTGGTTCCCCCGACCCACCCGCCCTCGTTCCCGTGCGGAATCCAAGATCCCATTGCAGGAAAGGCTCGTCTACACTCGCTAGCCGGCTCCCTCTGCTCCAGTACACTCCTCTGCCCAGGACAAGAAGACTGCATTTGCCCAGGCCGCCCATGACTTTCATTTCTGAATCCACAGCCTCTCTGGGTCTTACTAACTCCGTGGCATTTGATCTGGACAGTCACCTTTGACACCATCCACACCCCACACCACCTGCTCAGGTGCCTGCGTCCTGGGCCCGTTCTCCTTAAATGTGGGCTCGAGCTTCCCTCAGGAACCCATTCCTTACCGGTTGCGTCCACAGGGACCCAAATCTGCTGTTTGCAGGACCTCAGCTGGGCACTAGTTGGGCACGGCAGACTCAGAGGTCTGCAGCCCCTCATCCCTGCCACCCCTGCCAGACAAAGTCTTCCTGTCAGCCTCTCCCCTGCTGCCTCCCTCCCGTTCCCCACCCCACCCGGTTGGCAACCTCTGACCCAGACTCCAGTCCCAGCCAAGCCTTCACCACTCACTCCCCCCATTCACACACTCGTTCATTCCACAGATGCTTCCTGGTGCGTCCTTGGTGCCAGGCACTGGAATGACCCTGGGGAACCAAATGGACATAGTCCCTCTGCTCATAGAACCATATTCTTCCTAGAGATGGACCCAGAGAAACCTGTCGACAGCCCACCTCTCACCTACTTAAAGTGCTGTGCACTCTCCCCCATAAAGGAACCTCTGGAGCCAGCCCTGATGGCCTAGGGTTAAAGTTCTGCCCAGGTTTGGCTTCCTGGGCGTGGAACCACACGCTCGTCTGTCAGTAGCCAAGCTGTGGTGGTGGCTCAGACAGAAGTAGAAGGACCTCCAACTAGAATATACAACTATGTACCGGGGCTTTGGGGAGGAAAAAAAACCTCTGCACCATCCACCCCTCCATCCACCCGCCCATTCCTCTGCTCCTCTACAATGAAACTCCTGCCAGGAGCTGTCCGAAGCCCTTAGCTCCACTTTCTCTCTCCTGCCGCTTAACCCCTCCTCCCCCCACTTTCACCGCCAGCTCCTGTGTTTTAAGTATAATGGCCAATTCTCAGGCTTTGTCCTAATTGACCCTTGTCAGTGTGTCCCCTGGAAACTCTCACCTTAGGATGCTGCTCTCTCCCTTCTCCTCCTCCAGCTCCCTCTATGGCCTCCTCCTGGTCTCCCAGCCTTTAATGCGGCCCCCCCCATCTGGTCCTCTGTGTCCCATCCCGCCACCCCCCTCAGTCTTTAGCGAGTCTCAGGACCTTGAGCTTCTCATTTCCTCTTAGGGCTCCAAACACCATCCCAAGCTCAGATGGCTCCCCGAACTTGGGAGCCTGCTTCCCCCACCACACACTCAAACTGTCATGCTAACAACCCCCCTCAGCTGTGCTCTTCTCCATCCAGTCGGTGCAGACCTGCCCTTCCCAGGGGCTCAGCTTGAAACCTCGGAGTCACCTTTGCCTCCTCTCCCTCTTACACCCCACACCTCTCCACCTGCAAATCCTGGCGGCTCCACCTTCAACATATTTCCGGATTCCAACCACATCCCACCACCTCCATTGCTACCACCTGGTTCCAGCCACACCCTCTCCTCTGTGCTGGGATTTTTGCAGCAGCCTCCAATTTTCTTAGAACATGTCAGTCCATGTCCATCTGTCTGGTTTTCAAAACCCCCGATGATTCCTATCATTCTCAGGAAAAGCCCACAGGCCCTACAGGATCTGGGACCCCAAGCTTTTCTGCCCTCATCTCCCACCATCCTCATCCTGGCTCACTCCACTCTAGCCACCTGGCTCTCCTTGCTTCAGGGCCTTTGCACACGCTGTTCCCTCTCCTAGGAGCACCTTCCCCAGACCCACACTTCCTTTGAATCTCTACTTAACATCCCTCAAGCCTATATTAGCGGTCTGCTCCCCGACCCCCACCTCGCAGGGTGACGACTCCATGCCCCCAGCATGGGCACACAGAGCTCCGTGGCTGTCATTTGGGCATGAAGGGAAGGGGACCGAGGGTTTGCCATGGGAGGGGAGCAGCCCGGTGCTCATGGGGAAGGGCAGGAAACCCTGAGCCACGTGAGCAGAAACCCCGAAGGCAGGTGAGTGTGTGGGACACAGCTCCCCCTGTGCCAGGCCCCTCAGCCTGGGGGAGGGGGAGGGGCCTATTTCCGGAGAGGGGGTTCACACCCCAGTCTTGGACCACATCCAGTCCCAGGCCAGGGTGAGGGCATATGGGTCGCCTGCATTGCCCAGAAAGCTTCCTGAGGCCTCCCCCACAGGGTGGAGCCCCCCTTTTGTATTCTCAACAAGCTCTGCAAAACAACAGCCCCCATCCTGCTGGCAGCCCAGGCCAGCGCCTGCCTCCGGAGGGCAGGGGTGGATCACTGTGGGGGGAGGGGGAGTTCCTGGCCGCCACCAGTGCTGAGCCACCCCCGCGGAGCAGAGGGCAGAGGGCGCGGTCCTGAGGGACAGGCAGCACGCCTGGCCCGGCGTTGCTGTGTCCACTGCGTGCCCTGCACCCTGGCAACCAGAGCAGGGTGTTTATTCCCAAATTCGCCGACCACTTCCCCCTCTGGACATGGCTGGAGTTGGGACCCCATCAGCCTGGGCCACTGCTGTGTCCCCTCTGCGTCTGCAGGCGTGTGGCACACGAGGAGTGAATGAACAGGTAGAGACCTCTTAGAAGGGCTGGGACCACGTGGGCCCCTAGGACCTTGGGTCCTGTCCTGGGGTCACAGGGCAGGATTGCTGCCTCTCCCTGTCTGCAGTGTGCAGAGGCGTAATGGCCGATGGGAGGACCTGGAGGTGACCCTTGGACCCAGGCGCGGGCCAGGGGCCAGACCTGAGGGCGGGTCTTTTTCACCTCTCTGCAGGTTCTGTCTTCCCAAATGTTCGCCAAGACCTCATACACTCATAATCACCAACACCTCTTCTTTCTGTAGTGAAAAAATACAACGGTGTGTTGTTGTTTTAACTGGTTATAAAAGTGACATGGGCTTGTTGTAAAACTTTACAACAGGGAACAGTGTAGAGAGAGGAGCCCTCCTGACCTGTGCCCCCAACGCCTGACAAATCCAGTCGGGTGGGGGACATGCATGTCGAAGCCTTCTTGTCCCTCTCTTGTCACCTGGGACCCGAGGGCAGACGGAGGTGCAGGGTGGCCCCCGGGTGTGGGGCTGGTCGGGGGAGGAGGGTGGCCAGCCGGCAGAGGGCAGAGGTGGGCTGCCTGGCTTTGGGCCAAGGACCCTCGCCCTCCAGGCAGCACCTGGCTCACCCCCTGATTTTCTTGGATAAAAGTTCTTTTGTGGCGATACTTCCAAGATCCTTTAGGTGAAAGATGAAAGCCAGGCAGAGTTTACGCTCAGAGAGACTCATCAGACAGAAGCAGAAGCCTCCCTCGGGGGCCGGCTGTCCCTCCCCCACCCAGGGGGCCACCGTCCTCTTCAGAGCTCACAGACTCATCTGTGCCAGCTCAGCACTGGGGACAGCGCAGAGAGGAGGCTGTCGGGAGCTGGCATTTCAGGGAGCCCGTGGGGTCGGGGACACTGGTCATCCTGCCAGGTGTGACACTGGCCCGGGAGGGGCCCGGCAAGGATGGCAGCTGTACAGGAAGAGCCTGGACACTTGCTGACAGGCGCTGTGGAGGGGCGGGGCAGGAGGTGTTTCCTTTCTTTGTCACCGTCACGGGATTTGGAGAAACAGGTTCAAGTGACAACATTCATTTCACTCACTCATTCGTTCATTCAGCAGATGTTGACCAAGGGCCAGCTGGGTGCCAGGCATCATGCTGGGATTCAGTGGTGAGTAGCCAGATGTCGCTGCTTCATCACAGATCCTGCACACTCGTGGGGGGACAGGCCACCCCCTTTGGGTCACACAGACGTGGTAGCTTTGTCGGAGAGAGCAGG